GTCTGTCTGTCTGTCTGTCTGTCTGTCTGTCTGTCTGTCTGTCTGTCGATCCATCTATCTATCTGTTTGTCTGTCTGTTTGTCTCTCTATCTATCTATCTATCTATCTATCTATCTATGGCACGGACTTTTCTATCTATTTTGGGGTCTGTATATGCATTTGTCACATGTTGTTGTTATTTTTTTTATGTCGCTTGAGCGATGGGCAGGGCGCGGAGTTGCATGCAACAAAGCCCACAATCGATTCAGGCAGACTTCGTCGAGGGACCCAGTTGAGTGATGCATATCCCAAAATGATGACCTGATACTTCCTGGAAATTCGACACTTTCGCATGAACCGGGAGAATGAAGGGTTGAGCCCCCCAAAGAACAAAGGATAAGAGGCCACTGTGGAGCCACAGCTTCGAACGCCGACCGCCTCAGGACCGCCTGGGCGCTCACTGCCTGGCAGCTCGGCGCACGCGACCTTACTGGGACTGATGGCTGATGCCTTCGCATGGCAAGAAGCTTTGCTGGTCTTTGGAGGCGAGGAATAGCTGGAGCCACAGAGGGAAAAGGCAAAAAAACACAAAGATGTCTTGAGAAGCGTTTAAGAGAAAGGGGTCCATGTAAACCACCAAACTTTTGGTCTTGTGGGTCCAAATTGATCGGGCACAAACAACATTTACAGGTACGACTATACTGTGCAGATTTGTGCAGACGGTGTACTGGGACGATTAGCACGTTGTAAAGATCAACGGTGCAGTGGTACTATCCGCATCCATGTGTCATGGTTGGTAGCTCGTGTCATTTCCATTTTCAGTGGGAACTCTTGGGTGACTTGTCGCTGGGGGAGCCGGATGGAATGCGGAATGCTCTCCTGTTCATACCAGAATGCGTTGCAACACTCACCATTATATAAAGATGTAAACTGTAGTTACAGGTATCCAATCAATGAATTTGTGTGGTAGAGTGGAGTCCCTATTTCTCAGTGCCTGTAAGAGAACTCGTTCTTCAAGGGTGTTGCAAAATCAGCGAACGAGACGGACTTTGCTGTTTGGTCATCGGGCGATGGCTTAAATCCTGCTATAACGGTGGGCTTTGTTCAAGGTGTATGAACATCTGCAGGATGTTCGTTGGTGTCTACCAGGCTGTGAGGTGGCACACAGAGCTATGTCATGTGGAGCCTGGAACATGGGAGACACCACTGAATGACAGTTGAACAGAGATGCCTGTTCACGATCACCAGTACTCATGAGCCAAGATGACCAAAACATCCCTCATGGAGGAGTCAAACCAAACCAAGAGAGCTGGGATGCCGATGCAAGCGTTCACCCTGAAACCCACCTTTTTCTGGCCTGCTGCCCCGACATGACAGACATTTCCGGAATTTGGTGTCGGTCCACATCAGAAGGGGCGTGTAGATTTCAACGTCACACATGTGTAGTTTGCTGCTCAGTTTCATAACATAGTGGATTCCTGAAGAAGTTTGCCATCAAGAGCTCAAAAAGTCAAGCATTGTCTTTTGGATCGTTTCGGAGATGTTTCTCGCATTTTCTCACCGTGTTTTTTTTTTCCACCACTTGGGACGACCGGCCTTCTCAACTTTACACAACCACACCGGCCAACTACGCATTACGACTTCCTATAGGCTAACGGCTTACTTCAGCTGTTTCTGACACGTCCCCCACAGGATTGGAGATGCCAACCAGCGCTTGCTTCAACTCGACGATGACGGCTCCTCGGCCCTAGGCGGATCCAGGGCCGAAATCCAGGGCCTGGGTGATGGGGGTAGATGCACTTGTATGGTTTGCAATGTCCACTAGTGCCGGAACTTGCACTGAGACGGTTGTGAGAGTGGCTGAGAGTCTGTTTCTACTCAGCTGGTTGCATCAATCCTGTTATGTGATTCACCATTTGGAAGGCGCTTGGAGATGGGAATGCCCCGGAACGAGAGCATTGGATCCGATTGACGCACCAAGCACATGCTCTCCTGTTGATATCATGGGGGGCCGTACCAAGCGAGTGAGTGGTGTCTCCCAGATGGCTCATTGCCAAGATCCACTTCGTGATAGTGATACAGAAATTGATGACAATTGCAATGGTTGGAGCAAGTTCCTTGTGAGGTTATGTGAGATGTGCTAATATCTGCCAAGACTTGCTCTTTGAAAATCAAGAGTTGATTGAATGCTCTTGCACATGTTTTGTGTCTTTTGTTTGTACATGCTGCGGGATTCCAATGATGCCCCGTACAGGGCCATTCTTCTCATATCGGTATACTATAATGTATACTACGACCACTGACTGGATGCCGTTGTCGACGGTTTCCTTTTCTGGCCCTCAAAGTCTCTAGTTTGCTCTCCCAGGCGATCCACCCTCTAATTATCCAGCAGCCTGAGGCCTGTCACAGGTCTTTCCACTGGCAAGCGGCCCTGCGCATCTTTGACCAAATGAAGGCCACGGGCCAAATCGCATGTTCTCAGATGCTGGGTTCGTGCACTCCTTGTTCCTATTCATCCAACCACCCTTCTCATTGCATATCAAGGGACCACTCGATGCACCAACCAGACCACTCCGCATTCCACCGATCACCTCAGAAGAGCGCCACGAATTGGTCGGGCATAACTGGTCGCCTGCATGAGAGGAGCCACCGACCCTCGGCACAGGGGAGTCTTGAAATAGGAACGTGAGCGCTCCAACGGTGGGGAAATCATGTACTGGTAACCGTAACCGTAACCTCATGTTTTCGGTGCTTTATGCATTGGAGCTGCATGGAAGAGCTGGATTGTCAATGTAGTACAAAGTTGAAGGAACTTGGGTTGGGGAGCTCCCTTTGTGAGGGTCGACCCCATATATTCGCACTAAGAAATGGAGGGACGATTTTCAGATCTGTTCTAGAGGGCCAGAGGGGTAGAGTAAAAGTGAACAATCACCATACAATACACCTACTCAGACACTTGGAGAACAGTTGCTTGGCTACATTTTGGCCACATTACGGTTTTTCAGCGCCTTTGCCATGTGAGCATTGAAAAACACGCGCAGTGAACATGACCTACCTCCTGAGCTACCGGCGTACCTCATGTTCGCTTCCCACCGGTGTCTCACTCCCTTTTCGCTCCATCCAGGTTGCCCAGCGCGACGCCAGCAGCTATGCCAATGCCTGCAGAGCCTTCGCGGAGGCCGCGCTGTGGCAGCGACAGTTAGAGCTCCTGCGACTTGGCGATCCCGAGGTCGCGGCGACCTGTGGTGGAAACGGTTCGATGTGTGGCGAAGGGCTCGAACCACAGCGCGGCAGGGCTCGAGTAAAGCGTGGGGCTTTGAGGATTTTGAGGGGAAGGAATTTGGGTGAAGAGCCGGCAGGGATGAGTAGAGCCATCCCTTGTCCCAATGGGCTGTACTGTATATAGGTCTATTTAGTGTGCTTGGGATACTTTTGGAGCACCCAACAGGTATGGTCCAGGAATAGTCAATTTACTGTAATTTGGGTTAAGAATGTAGTAAAATCAAGCGGGATCAACATTCATAGTTCACCAAATGTTGAATCATCATGAATGTGAGGTTTCCACTCTTTGCTTGGCAACATCAAGAATGTCAGAATCCGGGCCTTGTTGCTTTGAGTTTTTGTTGTTCGGTGTTTGTTTCACATGTGGATGTGCATGTTTCACATTGTCATGAGACAACCCGAGAGTACTTGTAATATTTCATCATATTTCCCCCAAGGATCCACACCAAAACCCTTTGCGCCCCTCAAGCCATCATCACCTTCCGCAGGGAAAATGCTCGTCCAAACCTTCAAAGGTTTCCAGTGAACTCTTGGGGAGGCCAGAGCCTCCGCACTGTGAATCTAGCAATCCAAAGGTCTCAAAGACCTCAATAGACCTAAGACTCCTCTTTTTTTGTGTGCTGGAGGTTTTTCCATCACATGACATTTTGCACAGGCTTTAGAAGGGGTGTCCTCCAAGCTGAACACCATCCAACTCGAAGACGCAGGGGCTCTGACTGCGTTCTGAACTCCTGCTCACTGCGTTCCGACCGTCAGATCACCGGGATGCTGCCCATGTCCAGCGGTTCAAACCGATGTTTACTTTCTTATCCTTGGGACCCGTTCAAATCATGACAACAGTGCAGGAAGCATGGAAGCATGGAAACATCATGACAACCTGAACAACATCTCATCTCATCTCATCTCATCTCATCTCATCTCATCTCATCTCATCAGGCCCTCATCTCATCTCTCCTTTGCCACCGTGGATCCCGGTGGCCCTATGTCCCAGGTCGAGCGTCTATCGGTCCAGTGCGCATCTCTCGGTGCCCTGGGTGTTTTTGTTTGGCGGCCATGGGAAGCGTGCCACGACCGCAGGGTTGAGTCTGAAAGGACATGCCTATGTTACATGCATTTAGTATTTAGTAGTAGTTATATAATATACCATAATATATTGTAATTGTCATCTATTTTGTTTGTCCCAAAACTGACAGTCTTTGGGCACCGTAGGGTCAACGTCATTACCTTCTGCCCCCGGTCAGGAGCAAGCGCCGCTACCAAACTCTCTCTAATGGCCTTTGAAATGCACAGAACCACGGGGCTATACCAAGCCTCCCAACGGTGTGGTGTTTCAATGCGAACGCCCTTCCAATAGAAGTCTCTACCAAGGCTGCCAAAGCCAATTGCTCAAGCTTAGCTTGATACAAGACATCATATCCCTTCATCGTCAGGAGTCTCTACTTGGATGGACCATACCGAGCCCATCCAAAGCCGTAGTGGTTTAAACGACAGTGGGGCTTTGCGGGCACATGTCCAACCTAATAGCGATGACCTCCCCCCTAGTAGCGTCCTTGTTACTTAGTAGTAATGGCCTCCAACCTAATAGCGATGGCCTCCCCCTAGTAGTGTCCTTGAGTAGGAGCTTCATTTGGGGGTTGGGGCTTTGCGGGCACAGGTCCAGCTCTTTGATGCCTGCCTCATGGGTGCTGCGAAGACCGAACATTGGCAGGCCGGAGACCGAACATGCCCAGCCCGTGCACGAGTTTACCTTTTCCGGGATCTGGAATCGGGTGTTGTTCAGGAGCCGAGATGTAATGGCCGTGATGGCTTTTTGGGGGGCACACCAAGCCCTGGACAGGGGAAGAGATCTGAGGACACCTGTTAGACACCTGGACACCTGCTGGACACCTGCTGGACACCTGGACACCTGCTGGACACCTGTTGGTGTCCGATGCTCCGATCCTGCCAGGTGGCAGTGGACATCTTTGCCTCGATGGAGGCAGCAGGGGTCCAGTGCCTCGACACGAGGGGTCCAGTGGCAAAGCAGAGAGCCCTACGCTTGGCTTGTAAAGAAGCATCGGTTTTCCAGTCTGGTCCATGCCATCAGGTGATGTTTGATGTGAACCTGATTCTTTTGGATGTTGGGGGGGCGGTGGATTCCCCTCAGTTCTCGACGAGAATCCAGATGGAAAGTTCGGTCCATTCCAGTGGCCTCTACAGCAGGATAACTGCTGTAGCAACAGCGCCTCCGTGTAAGCAACTTTTCTCAGATGTTGACCTCTCAGAAATGAAACTGGAAGGGTATCCAGGTATGTATTTGTTTCACGATTTCTGAGAGTTCTGAAGACATCCAAGGATTGCTACGACTACGTAGGATTTTGCGAGGTTTTGCTGTCTCCCTCCCGCAGCTGCTGACATGTTTGATGCTGTTGACATGTTTGATGCAGCACTTGTGAGTGATTTCCCTTGGTTAATGCAGCTTGGAGAGGGAGCCAGATTTCAAAAGTGTTGCTTCCAAATCCAATTAGATAGGAAATGATAATAACATCCATTGGATGGGTAATTCAATACATGTCCTTTCGTGCACGGACGTCCACCTATCTGAGCCAAAAAAACGGTCGCCAGTGCCGAGCCGTGAAACAACGGTTTGAGAAAGGTTATTTTTCAAGGAATTGCAAGAAGCTGTCCCATGGTCCTTAGCAGTGTAAGAAGACATAGGAATCAGGTAGGGGCCAGTTTACGGACCATGGTTTACACTATGTTTCTAAGGTGTCTTTCTAAGGCTATGGTTTACGGAGGTGGTTTTTGAATCCACCGCCTTAGAAAGACCTTGGTTTCGAAGGGCGGGGGTCCGATGGCTTTCGTCGCCGGCCTTCGCCGTTGTTAGGGGCACCGGGAGAGAGGTTCGGTTCGGCCAAAAGCCTCGGCTTTGGTTGCTTGAAGAGGAAGAAAAGGGAGGCCCTGAGTTTCATACCGTTGATTCTATCCATGCATAGGTTTTGGTAAAGGATGATTGCAATGTGTGTACTTCTCAATCAGCTTCCACCTGCAAATAGCAGGTAGACAAATCGCATGACATTTTATAGATCAGCCCATCAGTGCTCTCCAGATGTAGGTTGACCATGCGTGCTCGATCCGGTGTATTCGGAGAATGAAGTCCATGTTACATCATTTTCACCAAGTTGGTTTATCCACAGATCGGAATTTTGATCGTGTTGATAGCTGGACTTAGGGTTTGGTTTCACCCCAAATCATGAAACCAGCCACGAACCCCACAATGCATGGGTGATGCTGAACGCTCTCAGGCCCGATGATCTCATTCGTTCGCAGCTGATGCGTGTCTTGGGCCCTCATCAGGCGAAGCGGCCATGTGGAGGTTGACGGGGCAATACCTTGCTTCCCCAGGTCCTTTTGGGTTTGAAAGCAGGGACACCCACATGTTTTGACATTTTTGACCACCAGGAGCCCACTCTATGGGGGCATTTTGGGGGGGTGATGCTAGTAGTTGTTGCTGGATTACTTCGCTGCCATCATATGGTGGAACTCAGAGAATGCCTTGTCACCTTCTTCTTCTTCCTCTTCTTCCCCTTCTTCTTCTTCTTCTTTTTTTGATGCCATGACCCTTTGGTGTCGTCGGCGTACAAGGACATAGACATAGATAAACAACATATCACACAACAAATGCACCCAATGATTGAGAACTCTCCGACAGTCATCGCAGGCTCTACCCAAATTCTAGCGAAGTAGAAGCGAAACTCACCTTGACACAAGATACTAGCTTGGCGCGAACACCCCGACTCGGAGGCTTGGTCGCATAGGTGGACTTGAAGCATCCGAGCAAGTGAAAGCAGGATTGAGGAGGTGAAAGAAAACCCAGGCATCTTTCGTCTCAAACATCCAATGCTTTCTAGAGCGACCAGGTCTCCGAACTGCGGGGGTGATGATGCTATTTCGGCAAGAGAGCACTATTCCGCGCATGGGATCTCGGTTAGGAGCCCGAAAGAGATGGTCCAAAAGCCTGAGTCGTCTCTTTTTTGATGTGTCACTGACCGTTTGCATAGGTTTGTTTCCAACCCTGTGACGGTTAGCTTCGTTGAGAACGGCAGCATTTGACCAGGACCTATTGATGAAGCCAGAAGGGAGATTCAAGATTCTTCGGAGACCCCGTTGTTGAAGTGCACCACCATAGACTGCAGTCCTCTCATTGTCATGGACTCAGTCCTCTCCACCGCAGGTGTCCGCACTCCTGAGAGAAGGGCGCCCTCTGAAAAGGGCGTCGACGAAGAGTTCGGAGATGGAAAGACTCAAGGGAGGGAGGATGAAAGACACACCGGAGTCTACCTGTTCATGTGGAGTCTGGATCTTTGTTTGGATGGTTACATCTAAGAAAGTAGGGGCTATATCGACATATTCAACATATTATCCTCAAGGGGAAGCAACATGTAGCCACCAAAGCTTTATGTTTAAGTTTGCGATTTGTTGGTCGGATTCAGGTCCACTGGCCAGATGCAGAGAACACTTTAAAGCTGGGTGGGTCCTCTTTTTTTTCCAGAGCTGCACGTATTTCTTTTCACTGCATCCTTTTTCTTCAGAGCTGCACATGTTTCTCCGTCTTGAGGTATAGTCTTTGAACAAATTAATTGTCAAGGAGCTGAAAAGCCGGGGGTTGAAGGGACAAGTCTGTGTTTGGCTGCCTTTGAACAAACAATTTCAAGCCTCGCTTTGTTCCATTTCAAGCTGTTTGGCTGCTCGATGTGGGGGGGCTTCGCCAAGTCAGCCTGCCTGCGTGCATTTTTTTCGAAGCCTGTGCCCCGACCTTCAGACATACGCATGACACGATGGTGACAAGCATTTTGGTTGGTCGATTTGTCATGCATATAGAGAACCAAATCAAGCATACCATGATAAATCTCACATGACTGGGGTGGCTTTACAGATTAACTAATCTATATATATATATATACCAATGGAGTGCTTGCCATGTGTAGAACCGATTCTCTGGCAGCCGGAACCCCTCTTCTTCGACGCCTTTCTAGAGATCATCACTCGTATTTTTCGCATCACTCGTATTGCATCTGCGTCATTAAGCACCAAGAGACCGGACCGAGAATCCGAGAGACCCCCCATGGACGGTTCGGACCAATGAGTGCATTGCAATTGTTGTTTCCATGGTTATTTGCCTTGTTGTTTCCATCCGAGAGAATCCCTCAGTTTCACGTTGAAAACGGCCTTGTTGCTTGCATTGAGTTGTCTTTTAACTACCGTGGGTAGTATCACGTCTTGGTTGGGTGCAGCTGTGCGGTTCTCCACCTGGCTGTCGCTTTTTACCCTTAAGGCAACCCCCCAAGAATCTTCATCACCCCCCTTGGTGCATTGGATCCTCTCCTTTCCAATCCTGTTCAGCCATGGAGTTCCGGTCCAGACGGTGCTGGAGAAAGCGGACTGGGAACGCTTTCTGGCACGCTTTCCGCTGGGCACGCGTGGCTGTGGCGACCTGCTTCGTGAGTGGCGCTGCGAATTTTGCAGGCGAAGCGAACGTGGAGCTCTTGAGACAGGAAGAGACCGAGAATCGGCCACAGGGAGAAGCAGGTCTTTTTAAGCCCCGAAAGCAGAGGACACTGATCGCCACCTATGAGCCAAGCTTGTCACCCCAACAGCTTCATTCCCCGATCCACATGCCACGATCAAAGGTGTGAGACGACACCGCCTGGAGGTGCCTATGCCTGGCAGGTGCCAACACCTATACCGTAGACCAACATCCAGTGGTTTTTGATTTGTTGATCCACCATCAAACAGCTAAATCCGAAACCTATGGGCTGGTGTATTGAATAAAGACACCAAAGTGGCGTTAAACAGTTAAGCGTTTGCGTCGTTTTGTTGATCGTTCAATAGTGATATTGGTTGTAGTTTCAGGTGGTATACGCCGTTGTGTTTCTACTCGTTTGTGTCATGTTTCCATGGGATTTGAGCGCGGTCCTTTTTATGTGTTTAGCCAAACACCCGTAAAGTGAACACCTACGCAAAAAACAGCTGTGTCAAAATCGGAAACTCTCGTTTTGGGTTCTTCATCGATTCGCCTCGCGTTTTCCCTCGCTTCGCCTCGCTTCGCCCCGCTTCGCTTCGCGCTTCGCTTAACGTGCTTCGCGCTGGTGGGTGCTGGACCTCCAGTTCCGCGCATCGCCCGACAGGTCCGCGCTTGCCGCCGCCGCAGCTGGAGGAGACCTGGTGGCTGATTCGAGCCCCGGCCGTGAAACACGTCGAGCGAGGCGCAGAGGTCGTACCCGGAGGCTACCAGGAGGGGTTGGTGAGGTCGGACACTTGGATGGCTTGAGCAGTTCCAATTGATCAATTTGCAGGGCTAGGTTTTCTTCAAGTGCGTTCTCTTCAGTGTAGCAATGAAAACAACGGAAATGGTGTATATATACCCAAGGGTGGTTCTAAGTGGCTGCAATCGTAGGCAACTTCTTGCAGGAGCACCTTCCGTCAGTGTGGAGTTCGTTTGCTGGACGGGTAACAGATGGTAACAGGATTCATGTCCAGTCAAATAAATATATATACCCGGGTGAACACCACAAAAATGACACATCTCAACCGGTTCTGGGGGAAGTTGACATGTTTTGACCTATAATGATATACGCCTTGGATCATCTCAACATGTGTTTTAAGTTCTTGGACTTGAGTGTATGTTCCTTGACTCATTAGACTTGAGACCCCAACAAATCTGATGTCATGTGCCTCCAAAAGGACTTCGGCATTGCGGGACCATGTCGGACCATGGCAAAAGCTCACTCCCAAGGAGTTGATCTGGGTCGCACTTTGGGAAGCTTTATGCCTTTGCGTTGGGCCACAGATGCTTGGACTTCTGTGTGTCATGCATGGCTTCCAGTGACGGGGGGGGGAACCTCCCAAAACGTCCTCACAGTCACGGGCTTTGAGGTCCAAGCAAGAAGCCATCCTCCATAAACGCATTTAAAACAAGCCATCCTCCAAGAACCACCCTTTGAGTATTGGAGGATGGCTTGTTTTAAATGCGTTTATGCTCTACACCTTGCAGTTCGCAGGCGAAATCCGCGTGGATGTTTGGAAGCCCCAAGAGGCTCGGTTCATCGGTTCATCGCATATTGTGTCAACCGTAGCTGGGCCCCTGTGTATCGACACACTGCATGCAAACACCTACGACGTAGGGTATCGAAAGGTCACATTCAAGACTAGTATTGAGACACCCAATCCTGCCACAGTCTGAGTGCCTTTGGCCACCTTGCAGGTCACGTCTTAAGAATAGTAGTATATAGTAGCCCATTGCCATGAATTGGTGGTCCTCGTGTGGGATGGAGTATTACTCCGGTCCCAGGACGGTAGCCGCTTGCTGCTGCCCATGATCGTGCGCTTTCAGCGAGGCGTGTCCGCTTCTGTCCGGCGGAGCTACGGGGGGCCCAGGTTTCTTGGGCTCTCCGATGATCCAGAATGTTCCAAGATGTTGCAACTGCGGGTTCTTCCAAACGTTTCTTCTATATATAGCTTTCTTTTTATAGCGCACTTGAAACATCCTTCAACCAGATTGGCATGACATGTTTCGCTGTTATTTCCACTCAGATCCAGCCGGTGGCACTTCACTCTACGTTTGGGTTATCACCCATCTCGTGAGATCCTGTTACAACTTCTCATCGCTTCATGGCCACCCACCACGGTGCTCTAAAAAAAAACGCCCGAAGGGCTTTCACCGACCGATGGCGAGACCGTTGGGCTTTCACCGACGCGAGCGTCCCGCGACCGGGCTCACCGTGTGCGACGCGAGCGTCCGCGACTGGTCGACATCGATTCAGGTGGCACCTTACAAGTCCATCGTGCAGGCGATTTCCTGGGAGCTCCTTGGAGGATTTGTTTTGTCGGCATTCAGATTGATTAACTGATTGGTAGCCAATTGGATACATCAACATGCAACAAATTAATATATAGAAGAGCCCCTGATAATCGCCCCTGATATTTCATTGAACAAAGAACAGAAAGAATCAACCACTTCCAGCAATCCAGGTGCGCAGCTCTCGATATAGGACCAGCACCGACACCTCTATATGATACACAGATACACACAGAGGCTTACCAATGCTCCCCACATGTCCTTGAATTCTCCAGACTGCGGCGCTTCTGTCTTTTCTTTTCTGTGCGGAGCAGTCGATTTCGAAGTCGCAGTCTTTGGTGAGCAGTCCTGGCATTTCAGGCTTTGGAGGGATGTTGGCTGTCCAAACAGCCCATTTTGGCGCTGGTTTTCGCTTCGATCACTGGTCGGGCTGACAGCTCGCTGTCGCATTGGCTCGGGCGAAAGTGATCTCTCGATGGAGGAGGGTCCCTCAGTGGACGAAGAGAGCGTCATGTTGTCACGTGGCCGAGCTGATCCACAGCGCCCAAAACTACAAGATGCTATACTTAGGGCATGTTTCAAAGGCAATCTAGAATCTAGATGAACTGGAAGTCTGAAAAGTTTGCCGGTCCGAGCAACCTCAAGATCCTGATGCATTAGCTGTTTGTGGATCTACTGCTCTAAAGTGTGCAGCTTCTTCTCATGTTGATGCGATGCGCTTGCGACTTGAAGCGATGCGCTGGCATGGGCACAGAAAGGTCATCATGGCTTAACTCGTTCGCGTTGCTTTGCAAGTGTTGTTGGATGCCTGAGTCCCTCCTCATGCCACCACATGCAGTGGCTGGAACAGAAACCTCCCGCTTGCTACAGGGCTTGTTGTGATCAGACCATGGTGATGATGGCTTCACACCTATTCACTCGCGACGTCTGAACTCAGGACCTTGTTGATAGACGCTGAGGCCTTTTGTGGTCCAGTCAACGATGTGCAACAAACACTCCTTAGCTTACAAGGAATTGCGCGCTTGGCATCGCTTTTGCCCCAAAGGTTCCAGCTGCATTTGCCCCATCTAAAGCCGCAACCATCAATCCAACGGACTGTCCAGGCTTGTGCCCACGGAGGTTCTGCTGCAGTCACCGACATAAGGGCTGGGTTTTAATTCTGCCCTGCAGGGTTTTTTTTCCGCCCTGTGCAGTCCTGGTAGTTCCCGCCCTGGAGGCTTGTGCCCTGCATTCTGCCCTGCAGGTTATTTTTTCCGCCCTGTGCAGTCCTGGTAGTTTCCGCCCTGGAGGCTTGTGCCGCAGGAACCCTGTGCAGGGTTCTCCCTGTGCAGGGTTCTTCTTCCACCCTGTGCAGGGTTCTTTTCCACCCGGCGCAGGATTCCTTTTTCACCCTGTGCCGGATTCCTTTTCCACCCTGTGCAGGATTCCTTTTCCACCCTGCACAGGGTGGAAAAGGATCCCTGCACAGAGTGGAAAAGGAACCCTGAAAAGGAATCCTGCACAGGGTGGAAAAGGAACCCTGCACAGGGTGAGAAAAGAACCCTGCACAGGGTGGAAAAGGAACCCTGCACAGGGTGAGAAAAGAACCCTGCACAGGGTTAAAAAAAACGCCCATGCGTGACAAGGTGGAAATAGAACCCAAACAGGGCGGAAAAAAAAACCATGCCCACCGACATAACCATTGGTTGAGTCTTCACCGACATAGCCCTTGTCCCACAGTTAGACCATTCCAAGGGAATACTTCTATGTTGACCTATGTTCACTGCTCAAATGGGTTTTGTAATGTTTTGCATGGATTTGTGCCTTCTATTTTGAAATTACATAAGATCATAATGTTGCTGCTGTTCCAATCCCATTGCCTCATGGATGATCCATCAATCAAACACTGCTAGTTCTTTCAAGTCAGCATCAGCTCTGAGACGCTCTTGGATGTTTCTGAATAGACCCACACAAATTGTTGGAGTTGCATTCCTGCATTCCACGTCACACAACTCCACCCGAGTTCAGAACAGGTCTTTTTTATTTTGTTTTTTTTCGGTTACACCGGTCGCAGAACTCCTCGCCTTAGGAGTGGGACTCCCCGCCCTCGAGTGCTATGGGGCCCATGTTTTGGGACACGTCCGAGGAGGATGGAGGGCCGGGAGGTCGGACTTGCTGGGAGGTGGCGGAACAAGCAGGTGGGGGCAAGAAGGGGTGTGTTTGCAAAGCACGGAGAACTGGTTACTTCCTGGAAGGCTGAACTGCCTGCAATACATTCCATTCAGATGAAGGGATAGCCTATCAGAATTATCAGATACTTGTAGCACAGATGTATGTATAATCTATATACAGTATGATACAGTAGATTCATGTAGATTCCTGGATATGATTTAGACACATCGACCTCGCGCACGACGACAGTCCACGTCGCCGCGTCGCGAACAGGGCATGAAACCTGAAGTCACTTCTGGCAGCTGGGAGATGCTGGACGCGGAAGGAGGACGGCAGGTCCAGTTTAACGTCCGCACCACGGGTTTCTGGGTCTATTTGGATGATGGGAGGTCTGCTTTGCCTAGGGGGGGTCAGTGTGAAGAAAGTGCAGTTTGAGAGATGTTGAGCGGATTCACTTGTGTTTGTTTTGTGCTCCTGGCTGTCAAATGTGCAGATTGTGTCCATCACTCTCATGTTTTACTTGTTGTAGTGTCATGCCACCTGCCTTAACACCTTGCGGCAGTTGCCAGTTGCCCATGCAAGTTACAGTCGAGTCCTATAGACATGAGTAGCCTGAATAGCCTCCCATCACGTGAGAGAAGAAGACCTATGGATGTTTGTTTTCTTGCGCAGAGTCTAGGTTTTAAGCGTGGCTCCATTTGGCTTCCGCCCAGAAAGCTCTTCTTCAGAGGCGCCTCAAACCGGGCCGTCGGTGAAGAGATGCACAGAGAGAGATGCTTCATGATCTGACACTAAGAAGATTGAAAGATTGAATTGTTAAACTATATTCAAGCACTATGACAATTCCATGGAGAACTGTTTTCTCCTCATAACATGTGAAACAAACATGATTGAGCAATCACAGAGTATATTATATATATGACGACAGTATAAATTGCATGTATTATTTACATATTTTTTTAAAACAAATTATAGATATACATAATGTGCTTTGCATCACTTGGCGTGTGGCCCCCCCCACTGCAAATGATCCATACCTAAGGCGGGTCGGACATCGTCCATCGACCTTTGGATGCCCTGGGCCGAGGAGACATCCAGAGGATTGCTTCACTACCTATGTCCCAAAGGTTATATTTACTGTTTGTTGCTGGAGGGCGCAGCCAAAAACAACGGACCTTGGAGGATACCTTCAACGGACCTTCTTCGGTCTTCGGCCGGTTTCCAACAATGGGCTTGTTTTCCAACCATTTGCAGATGGTTTTCCGGATCCGGGAAGGCTCGGCTCGGGAGGTTCACCCTTTTGGCGGGGCGCCATCCACGTAACCATGAAGTCTAGAAGGCTCGCCTGCCGAGCAGAAGGGCCTCGCAGATTGACGGGAGCAGATTGAGCAGGTTCATCCATCGCTAGCATGCGGAGCATGCGCAAACGAGCAAGGCATGAGCTTCAAGTACTCGAACCCTGCGCTCACCCGTCCGACTCTCACCCTGCGCCGCTCTGCGCCGGTCCCGGGGGGGAACATCGAACGACCTCGTCGACGCCGAGATCCTTCGCAGGGAAGGTCTACGGCGAGATCCTCTCGGGGGGCAAGAATGCCACTGTGAGCATCCGTCACTGGGTTGGGAAAAGAGGTGGACTGGGTTCGTGGGTCACAGTCACATCCGATACACCTTTTTTACGTGACTTAAGAAACATAGAGCTTCTTCAAGCATTGCAAAGGAACATCAATACAGTCGATCAATACCCCACTTCTCTTTTGGCAGTGCTCTTTAGTGAAGACTATTGGTTGGAGATTTGAGGACAACGACATCCAAGTGGCATTCAAAGGTTTTTCAGAAGGGGCTCAGTCTGCTCAGTCCAGGTATGGACGTGTTGCTGCCTGGTTGTTGATGCCTCAGCCTGTTTAAGTCATATCTTATATAAGTCCATCGACAATCACCCGTCAATGCCATTTGCAGCCCACCCCATGGGCCCATGGGCCATAGACTGATGGTATCACAAGACGTCTTGTTTCATACCAGGACCCTCTAAGGGGTGTCCAATGGACTACCCCACACTACCTATAGGCTTCCATTGGGCACCCCTTAGAGGGTCCTGGTAGACAGGACCTTTTCTGTGCACCGTGGTTCGGTCAGACCTTCCGAACCGACGGACCGGCTTGAGTTCAGATCCCGAACCTGGGGCCGAACACCATCGAAGACCAAAACAGCTTGTCTTTACACGGACTTTGACTGGGGGGCAGCAGAGAGCCTCAGAGCATTGTTTGTTTGTTTTTGTGGTGTTTTTCATGGTTTGAAGGGTTTATGTGTTGTTGTGTGATTGTTTCACTTGTTTTTTTCTTTCCAGTGGGAGGTATTATATACAGGTGATGCCCCATTTGCATTGTTTGACTTTTTTTGCACATGTTTGATGTGGGCAGCAGATGTAAGTGATGAAAGCATATGCGTTTTTTACTAGGGGCACGGCACATGGACATGCAACATATATGCTTGCAATTTGCAATGTATTTTATCATATTTTATCAACATTACCAATATAACCATACATTGCCAATCTAAGGGACATTTACATCCCTAGGAGCACCCCCTCTGTTGGTTTCCCCGCTGAAACCGAGCATCTTGGAGGGACAGAATCTCAACCGCATCGAATCTGTGAAACCTTTGCGCAAAAAGAAGTGGGGGTTTCTTTCAAAAAAAGGGCCCGCGACCTCGTTAAGCCACAGTCTTAGCATGTCGTTTCTGTGGTCTTTAGCATGTTGAGTTTCGGCTGAGCTTTCGGGGTTTCGGTGGGTCCGCACGTGTCGGATCGTGTCGGCGACGGGTTCTCGCCCCCTTGGAAACTGGAGGAGCGATTCCCAGAAAGCAATTTTGGTGCCTAGTGATGGAGCTCCGAAGGCGCAGTGAAGTGAAAAAGAACACTGGGGCCATTGCTGAGTTTGGGCCACTGCCTCACCTCGCTCGTTCCGGGAACCCCGGAGCGGTTTCGAAAGGTCCGGGCGCCCCGGGGGTGTGCCGCGTGCAGGTGAGAACCTGCTACTCTATGGTGCTGGGGTTGCAATTCTGCTCGCGTGTCTTGGAGAGGTAGATTCATTCAGTTTTCATTTGCAGAAATAGATTTTTTTGGGGGTCCCAATCATTCTTTTTCTGAAGACCAGCAGAACTAAGGGGATTTAGCCAAGGATCCTCAGAAATGCATCCACCCACCTCAGAAACAAACAAAGGAACCTGGTTCATACTGATTCCATGGACACTGGGCATCCCTTCCACATCCTCGGTTTAACATCCCCCCCTTTCTCCCGTCCGAACCCGACGAAACTCAGCACGAAGAGGCACCACAACATACGTAGCACGGGGCGAACGAAAGGGTGTGGGTGTTCCACGCGGAGCCTTCGCCGGAGGTTTATTTGGGGCCCCGTCTCCTTGGTGGCCCTGGTTTTCTTTGCTCTTCGGGATGTCTCCATCTCCGTGGGCACCTGGACCTGCGAACGTTTGACCGGTGCTCCTTGGAAGCCGATGGCGGCGAGGGCAAAGGCGAACGTGATGGATCTGGATCGTGTTTAAACACTCTTAACAGCTGTACTAAATCATTAATTGGCTATTTTAAAGGTAAACCATCATCTTCCAGTGAAACTGCAGGAGGTTTAAGTAGATGCCACCGGACAGGCCCGGTCCCGCCACCGGTGTCCACCGGTGCCGCATTTGGCTGGCACCGATCCATCGGACGGCGCACGAGGTCCGTCTCCCGCACCCGGTTCCACGCGCGGTTCACACGCCACGCGTGGGGTTTGGTCTTAGATCCCCTTTGGGAGCAGAAGAGGCGAGCGAAATTGAGAGATGTCACGAAGAAGAACCAAACAAGTCGAAGTGGCCTTGGGGCCTTGTCATTGTAGCGAAGGTGTGGAAGGATGAGAAGTTAACCCCTACTGCACTGGAGAGTTTCGAGCACTGCAACCCGCTTATTGCAGTATTGGACACTGACCACACCCTTCAGCTGGACCAAGCTGTCGCTGGAAGTTAACTAATAAATATACTCAACAAAACCAGTTCAAAACCAATATTTCGATCAGTATCTATGGTCGACGACTATGAATTCTCCCTGTAACGCCACTGGTCATCAATGGTATTGGAATCCTGGCCTCATCATTCAAACATACTCAAACTGTATCGTCGAGGTAACCCTGTGGTCAGCCGCTATCTCCCCGGTCGCTATCTCCCTCCGCGGCTCTCAAGGATCCGGAGACCGAGCCCCTGCCGCCAGTGACGCTGAAAGGGGATGAACCCCAAAAATGGATTTGAATACACCTACGTAGGTACCAGATACCAGAAGAGCATTTTTTTCCATTGTGTTCAGAACTAGGCAGTACGAATCGATATCCTGTTGTATCCTGTTGTTTTTGTTTTTTGCCGCAAATGTAGGAACAACAGCAAAAATAAAATGCAGCATCGGCGATCTACAGGCGAAACTGCATGACTTTAATTTAACAATCCTATATGAAAATCAATGACCCTGGGAAATCACCTGAAGTCATAGAAAACCAATATGCCGGGGTGTTCATGTTTCCTTTGGTCATGTTTTCCCATGTCAACATGACTGATGATTCTGATGATTTTGGCGCCAATAGGCAGCGCCTCCAAGCACTTGATACTGTAGCGCTTGTCTCACCCGCAGCTCAAAATCGAAGAAAAAGCTTTGAAGAACACGCCTCCCTCCCGGCCATCGCTCTAAACCGCAACAAGGAAACATCCAGCACCAGTCAGTTTGGGCACCTGTTACTGGGGGGGGTATCCCAAAACCACTCATTACTGGTTGGTGCTGGATGGAGGGTGTTGGGTACGGTGACAGGTTTATGGACCGGACCTACTGAGGCAGGTTTGAAGACGACAGATCTATGCGAGCAACTCTTGGGTAGTTTTTTGTGTTTGAGCAGTCTGGCAATTGTTTTCTTTTTGTTTCTTGCGGCGAGCTACAAATAGCCTTTTTGGGAAATTGCTGGTGCTCCTTTTTGTTTTGTTTTCTCTCTCTCTCTCTCTTTCTTTTTACAGGATGTTGATAGAGTTCCAAACACCCACCCTTTCCCCTGGTTTGTAACCTGCTTTGTGATCCCGAGGCAATGGACGAGAACAGTCTTCAGCAATTGGTGACGGTTTTGAGACTAAACTTGCAAGACTTAAAAAGTAACAGTCCAGGCTTTCTTCCGCTACCTTGTTCACTTGAAGAATGTGACGCAGATCATTGCGCACATCTATATTATAGATGATATATCATCATGTTCAGGGTGTGGGTTCATATGTCCATATCATACCCTCCAAGGCTATACCCCCAAGACTCAATGCCGGCATGGAGAATCATTTCATGCTTTTGGCGAAGGTTTGGAGCAAAATGCTGCCGTTGGACGGCCCCTAGATTGAAACATACACGAAGCCCAAACCAGTTTTCTTGGATCTCAAATGACCACGGTATAGTGAGAGGAGTGATATTTACGCTTTGTCCAAGCAAATGCTCAGGGCAGGGTAGACGAGTGATGACTCTTTGGGGATCCCCAAGGGTCCACAGTGTCCAGATTGACCACATAGGTTAAAGGATTTCACACTTATCATATCTCAGACAGAAAACAAGACCAACAACAGCCTTGACTATTTGGATCCTTGGGGGAGACGCCATAGCAAGTCCGTGTATGTAGCATGGGTAGATCAACATGCTGCTTGGCAATGGTGGTTGTAAGTTACAGCTTGAGGCTGGTGATCGGCGATGTGCAATCAACTACTTTATCCGTCATGGTGTCAAATTCCACCCTGAGTGCGAGCACAACCAAAGCACAAGGCGGACATGAGGAAGTGCTACCGCAGCACCAACCGCAGGGTTTTGACTACCGGGACTACTTCTTTGAAATCATGATTGGTTTCTGCATTGTTCTTTGTGGTCTCTCCATGGCCTGTGGCTACTTTGAGACCCCTCGACAGCACGTGGTCGGCTTAGTTCGAGGCAGTCGGACTAGAATGCAGGCTACAATGATGGGAGCTCAGATAGCTCGCATGTGATTTGTTGAATATTCTTCTGCCCCAAGCTTCGCCTAAGACTTGCGAACTTGGAATTCTTTGTTCTGAGGGTTTGAAGGCTGGAGCATAGACTGAAGATTCCCAGCAAGACACAAGATAGTAACACCATGTAAAACCCACAAGGTTGGGACTTGGTTCATGCGGCCAACTTTGAACAACCCGCAGCTCTGCAGCAATAAAGATCAAAAAGGTCCATTTCCGCTAGCTCGCGCTCCTCCGTCAACTCCACCCCTTTGGCCCTCTTCAGGGCGCTTGGAAGCGTCTCGTGTCTCGCGCTCAACTGGAGCGTCGGATGTTCGGCTGGAGACGCCTTTCGATGTGTTTTTTCCACTTGGGGGGGTCTGAATTTTCGACAGCGGCCGAAGAGGACCAAACGGGATGGACAGATGGAACGATGGAATTGGTTTCTTTGTTTGGTGGAGTGCTTCCTGATAAGTTCACCCTAAATGGATTCTATCCAAGGCTTTGGGGTTCCATGTCATGTCACCTGTCTTTGCAACGGGGATATTACCAACTTGACGGGGCCAAATATTGTGGTCCTTTTGGTCTTCTTTGGCCTTTTGCCTCGCGACCAAGACGGTCTCGTTGATTTCGTCCTAGAAAAAAGGAGGTGCCGACGCCGACTCGCCCAGTGGCTTCGCAAACAGGGACATCTAAGAGTCCTTTACTAGTAGCTTCTAGCTACTAGTAGGAATGGCCTCCAACCTACTAGCGATGGCCTCCAACCTAATTGCAATGGGCGATGGCCTCCAACCTAGTAGCTTGGCAGTAATGCCCTTGTTACTAGTAGCAATCATATCAACATATCTCAACCCCAGCCAAGTAAAAGGGTGTTCTCCAGGAGTCCTACACATCTCTTCTTTCAAGCTCCTAGAAGCCCCTTGAAGCGAAAGCGAACCTGGAGCCTTTTCCCAAACACGTTTCAGAAGTCCAACATCCAGTGGAAGCTGAGTCGTACCACCCCCCAACACCAATCACTTGCTTCATGGTGACAGTGATTTTAACATCTTTCACCAAAAAAACACAGCACAAGTTAAAACACATGTTTTTTCTTCAACAAATTCAGCAGCGCCATAACTCACTGACGAACCCTTTGGGTGCGCCTGGAGAGGCCAGGCGCCACACGCGCCACGTCGCCGACTCGAGAGGATGGAACTGAATTTGGTGCGATGCGCTTGGAACTGGCCGGCGCGTGTCGGGAACACCCGACGAGATCGGGGGGTGAAGTTCGGTTCCGGGCTGGCTACCGCGCTCTTCAGGGCGGGACATGTTGGAGGATAGAGCTATGGCAGCGGAAAAAGTGGAATTGGAGGAGTCTCATGATGTGACCTGACATTTTTCTCACGTGAGAAGAGAACATGTAGCTCATTTGGAGGGTTCTGATGTGACCTGCGCTGTTTTCAGCAAAGACATGAGAAGTCAGAACACAAGAGTAGAGAAGACCCTCCCCTCCCCTTGGATTTGAACCGGAACTCCCCCGTGGCATCAGGCTCTATGTTGGTAATCCGGCCAAGTACCATTATTTGACGTGTTAACTTTGGACCTGGGTATACAACTCCAGTCTTGCAAGCCTGGGAAGCTCCCTACAGAAGAAGCAGCAGCAGGTGGTAGTATCAACAGTAGAGATCGGTAGCAGTGGCAGAGGTTGGAGGTGAGTGGCAGTGGCATTAAACTATACAACACGTCTTCTTTCGGATCATAGATGCTTCTAATATAGTCAAAATCACCCAGAAGCGACGAATCCTGTACACTCGAGGATTCAGCATGAACTCACTCCAAAAAAAAAGACCCCCCACCCACCCACCCAGCCTTTGCAGCTTCCACTCATTCTCCGCTCTCCCGTGCCCGCGCTCCTGGCGTGCGTTGGTTGGTTGATATGTGAGGTTGGAACGTGCCGGAGTTGGCCACGGGCTCTTCCAACCTACTTTCCACCTTCAAGGACCTGGAGGGGTCGAGGACATCTGAGGGACTCCCATCGACCCAGAGCGGCGGAGCCAGGAGCCGTCTCACCACGTCTGACAGTCTTAGACTAAGCCAAGTTGGGGCTTTCTTGGGGACGTAGTTGAGTGATTTCCCTTCCAAAGACACCACTTAGCTCCTGAGATGTGGATAAGTATTGATAATTGATATTAGCATGCCATGGACGACACGTGACGTGTGTGAACATATGCCAAACCACATTCTCAAGCCAAGCAAATGATTGTCAGTGATGAGAACCAATGAGAAGAACCGGCACCTGAGAAATCTGAGAGCATCTTCATAAAGGCCAAGAGCAAAGGAGGCAACAAAGATGTTTTACATTGCCAATTGCAGTATAATATTTGTATTTGTGTGTGTACAGTACATAGGTGCACTGAAGCTGGAGTTCTAATCATGTGTTATCCAGGCCGTTTAGAGGCGCCTAGGTTCGCCTTTTTTCGACGACAGGACCTCCTGCTCTACGAGAGTGAGCTGATGTTGCTGGGAGTTGGGAGACCGGGGAACCTCGCACAACCCAGGTTGAACCTGGCGCGCGTAGCGAGCGCGCGCAGACGGTGAAGGAGGTGAAAGGTGACGCATGACTTGAAGTGACTGGAAGTGAACACATACACTACCTGGAACCAGCATGGAAGTGGATGGAACATGCTCCTTGGAAGACCATTATTCCCTATACAAACAGGTGGTTTTCCACCTCAATGATAACTGTAGGGAGTGTAAGTGTTCACTGGTGCTAAGTAGTGAACACACTTGCGTCCTTTTTGAGGCTGTTCACTGGTGGTAAGCCTTGACTTTTCATGGCCATTGGCCACCATTGTCGTTAGCATGGTCGTTAGCACTGCCACTTCGCTCCGGCCCGCTCCGGCCCACGAAGATGTTTTAAGAGACCTTTCACACTGGGCCACTTTCGGTTCCTGCCTGCATTGATCACAAAAATAGCCCGGCCGATGGCTTCCTCTCCGGCTGTTTCAGCCGATTTGGCCCGGGGGGCGCGTCGTACGTTGAAGTCCCGTCCATGTCCTTGGAGCCGATGAATGCCGGAGAGGACGCCCACATGTCCAGACCACCCATAGCACTGGAATAGATACGTACCCCATTATTGAAAGGACCCGATATGTGGGTATTCCATACATGGTCTGGGATTGTTTTAAAGCATGCACTGTTTGTGTATGTTCTCATGCAATGGAGTAGAAGAAACGGAGATGGAGACAGGTTTCCAGAGAGTTCGCTTGGAGGGTGTTTGAGCCCCCAGCTTAACTGGT